AAACCACATTTTTTGACATTATTTGAAGGTAGGCTCTATAATAACCGCATCCATGAGATAATGTACACTAAATCTATGGTTTTTTTCTAATTTTTTTGAAATTTTTTTATCCATTTTAAAAAATATAATTCTGCAGATCTAGTTAGTCAGATTTAACCGCCCGGTTAGTAAGTCCCGGCCCCACGCTCGCTTCCGATTCTAACTGTTCTCGGGCCATGCTCGGGTCCTAATCTATCCGTTCCCGGGCCCATATCCGGTTAAGCACTCTAGTTCAAAACTCCTTGAGGAAACGAGGGTGTGATTCAGTGCTCTCAATACAGGCTAAGAAATCAAATGGATAAGCAATCGTTTATTGGGCCCCCCGCTTACATGAAGTTGGTTTCTGTAAATACTCGCACCAGGGAAGGCAGGCTTTCTAGGGAGAGAGGATGATGAGGGGTGTGTGTGTGGGAGTGACGACTCGTCCTGCCCTAGCGGCACTGCGTTCCCCATTCATCCTTCGCAGAAAGGCCACCGCTCTGCAACCCACTTGTTCTTCTTCTGGTACTCTCTCTCTCTCTCTCTCTTCACTTCACATATGGCTGCAATGTGTTTTGAGAATGCTACTGTGTTATTTTTTATTTTTCTCTCTGGGTTGGTGTTTGGAAGAATGTTTCCTTGCTTTCATGAAATTGGAGGTTTTTCCTCAAGTATCCCTCGCATTTTTTACTACTGAAAGTAGAATAGGTTTGTGGAAATTGGGCGGTTTCGTGAACTCTCATTGCTCAGGATCAGTGTCAGCCGCTTTTGTAATTAACCCCAACTGAACAATGGCATTTAGAGAAACAGATTATCTGGTTTGGAGATGCATATGATGTATCTTTTTCTCTGCTGGATATAAAATCTGGATTGTTTTAGGGTGTGTTGAAAAATCCTGCGAGCAGTTTCAATTTCAAGATTTTGAAGGATGTTGAGATTCTTGAGACTTCACAGAATTTCAAATTAAAATCAAAAATTGGTTTCATAAAGCATTTCCCGAAGCACAATTACCCATCTATGTAAACAGAGAAACCAATCGTTTCACTCTGGTTGATCATTGAACGCTTGAATGCTTACGCCATGGCACACCAAGTTCTCATTAGTTCCAAGTGTTTGATCTGTAATAGACGCTGTTTTTAGCATTTTCACAGAGATATGTTACAAGCATTGTCTCGTAGCAAAAGTTGGTTTCAAGAGATTAAATAAGCTTTTGAAGGGCTTAGTAGCTCAGGAATGAATGCCGGATAGGTTTAGGATAAGGGTAAACTATATTTAGTTCCATAAAATGAATAGTTCACAACTTTGTTATTATTTTGTTCATGTGAACTGCAGATACTATGCTGCATGTTATTTGACTACATGTGCTGGAGAAAATCCAATCCCAATGCCATCCTTAGAAGCCTGAACAGTAAAGATAGAAAAGAATAGTCAAGAAGAAGCAGTTTTGGAGAAACTGTGTGGTTGGGACCCGTGAGTGCTTAGGAAACGTCTGCATATTTCATTTATATGCATACAGATTGCATCTTATTTACTACAAGATGTTTAGCATTACAATAGACATTCACCCTTTTTGTCTAAAATATTTGTTACCATGTTATTAACTACAAAATGATTACGATTGCATCATAGATTTCTCTTTTTTGTTGGTTAATCAATCAGTATTTCTAATAAATATATGTGAACGGGCACACTCATCTCATGCATAGTATAGACATTAAGATATGTAAAAACTGATGCATTCTCTCTTGAATAGAGACGATGGAGCATCATCTAGTGCCTTTTTCGTTAGCTACATTATGTTTTGAGAAATAATGGAGGCAATGGATCATCATTTACAGCAATGTGGCTAAACTTGGCGGTTCTTGGGTGGCTTTGGAGTTTGTTGTGGGCATCACGAGGAATAGCAGCTTCGTGCTGGATCTTATTGGTTCTTGTTTGATCATTAGACAAAAAATAAAATAGCATGATCATGTGCCTCAGCTTACCAGCATTATCTTGGTGGGTGAGGAAGAAAAAATTTTACATGAGTCAATGAGGAGAAATGTGTTACAGTGGCCCTTTTTATACCTTGGCTTAGATATGGACCAGTTGAACGATTCTAATATGAAAAATATTCTCCCGTTTTTAGGTAAAGGTCCAACCTCATGAATAGTGAATTTCCCATCTCCTATGGTGTTTTGAAGCTGAATTATGAAAAAAGAACAAAAAATAAGCGAGTGGTTGCTTGGAACTTGTTAGATTGGAGACAAAGATTAAGACAAGAACCTCCCCCATAGTTATATTCTTCTGTTCTTGGGCATGCAAATTCTTCTTTGGCGGAAATGAAAGTGGCTCTCACTTTTTGTTCATTCAGAGTTCTATGATGGATCGTTGGGCAATTGAACTATGTCTATATCTTGTTAACTTTTTATGTTAATATTTGTATTTAACTATTTATTTTTTTCTGTTGATGATTTTTTTTACTGTTGTGCAAACTAACCAGTGAAATTCCTGAACTGCACCTCAAGTGGATTGTTCCTGCAGGAATTGCAGCCTCCATGAAGTGCAGAATAGGAATCCTACAATAGTCATGATATTCAGTTAGTTGTGTTGATTTTGCCAGCAAGGTGAAAAAGTGGATTAGAGCATATCACCTCAACTGGTAGAATGGACAAATGGGCAGCAAGCATGCCTTAGCTAAGAGAAATACACTACCATTTCTTGACATTTGAATCATAGCTGCCTATTGTGTACCTTGTCCTCATGTGGTGTCTTGGACATGATGGGTTGCATTCAAAGTTGTAAAACATAAGTCCTTTCTGTTCGCTGACTTTAATAGTATTCTGTATTTCAACTATAGATATAAACCCTTGTTTGCAAATGAAAATGACTGCATTTTTTTTTCAAAATGCAGTTGGCCATCTAATGGATTTTCAGAAACTGTGTTCAAATCATTTTGGTTTGGGTAGTTTGCCTGCTTTTTAATAGCTCACTGCTCTTAAAAATTAACCATGTCCTCTGCCATTAACCATCTGGACTTTCTATCACCACCACCATCTTAGTAACACTATCTAAAACCACCACTAAGCCCCTTTTCTCAAGAAAAACCACCACCATCCAAGAAACCACCATTGTATTTGGCCCCAAAAACCAAAACTAGATGTTGGCTACAGAGAAGTTAAAATATGTGGCATAGTCAGATTCAACAAGCTCTGGGAGACTTGGAGAAGACTCAGAGAATCTGCCAAGTCCGACAAAAAACTAACCAGGTAAAGTGTCTTAATTCTAGCGAGTTGGGACCTCTCTAGAACTGGCCCCTGATCGGTTCAGAGTGACTCAAGCAATTGTGCTCCCAAATCACTGGTTTTATAATCATTGTGCCTAAGCCCTGAGTCTGGCTTTTAAAACATTCAAAAAAACTATAGCTTCTAGCGAAGTATGACAAAAGATTCTTAAGTGTTTTTTGAGGTGTCTGCAGGCAGATCTCTACATTTTGGGATGTTGCATTTCTTCCAGACAAAGGCATCTCTCATTTATGTGTCATAACATTGATCTATGATGGTTGTTAGTTTTGATATCCTGGGACCGAGAATAAGAGGTGTCTTATTGATTATCAATGTTTACTGCTTTATTGTTTTGTAGTAGTTAGTGTTTGTGACTCCACTGCAGCAAAACGGAGAATGTTAGTGACATATTAATGGATTTTCTTCTAGGATTTCTTGGGGCCCATGATGAATTGTGACTTCACTTAATTTTACAGGATGGACCGTGTGAGAAGGTTGGGGGAATGTAGAATAATGAACGTGGAAGATATTCTCATATCTGATGAGGCACAATATGTTGCTTTTTTCATGTGATCAACCAAGCTCAAATCCACTGGCATGTGTAGAAGTTTAAAAAGAGGGCCTACATATTTGGAATATTTTCAATTCCATTAGAAGTATTCTCGGCATTTTTTGCAATCTTACGTCTTTAATGCAAGTATGCAACTTGATGAGGACCATGGTTCTCAATAATAAAAAGGAAAAAAGAGCGAAACCCATTTTGCTTGCTACATGTAGATTCCTATTTTCAGAGTGGCAATTGTTGAAGCTTCTAGAGTCCTAGCTTGCAATGTGGTGTGTAGTGAGATGTCTTTCAAGGAATGGGTTTCCGTATGATGAGGATCTTCCTACAGATTTTATCCCACAAACCAGGCCTTTATGGCTTGTTCATCTCCTTCTGGCATGGCTATCAATGCTCTTAGGCTCAGAGTGGGATAGCTTCTTACCAAAAAATTTCAATTTCATTGTTTTTGTTCCTAACATCCTTGAGTTCTTGAAGTGGTATTGTGATTTGCCTGAGATATGACAATATTCTGTTCCAGTATGAATTCTACCCTTGTAATGGGACTTTAATTATTGTGTGGTTTTATTTGATGATTTTTCTTGTTGTAATGTATATGTTACATGGACACGGATATGAGAATTTGTACCTTACTCCTATTCGAAGAATCTGCTCACCTATCAATGTTTTGCCAAGTCTAGTAAGACACATCCATATGATGCATATGTGTCTATGTATATTGATGTGTAAACTTAATGTGTGATTTTTAATAATGCATTAACTTCACAAAGTAAAACATGTGAGTCCAAATCAAAAGCGTTTGTGTTATACTAATGGGCACGCTTCTTATGATGCATACACAAGTGTCTAATAAAATGGGCACATGTCTTGTTTGTCCAATCTATGGACTTGCATGTCCACATAAAAGACATGCTGTGCAAACAATGAAAATTTCTAGACATGCATGTCGACACAGATTTACCATGTGTTTATGTTTTTCAACATGCGCATCTAGTGCATTGGCATGTCGAATTCTCCTAAATACGCACAACACGTGTTGTTGTTGTTGCATAGCATATAGGTATGTATGTGCTAAATGTTTTCATAAAAGACCATTATTTCCTGGAAATTTAAAACATAGAAGGTATCCCATCACTTTAGATGGGAAAATATTAACAACATGATCACACCGCCTCAAAAAATCGATGAGGTGGTTGAATTGACTAGATTGCCAACAAAGTAGTTACTTTTCTTCACTTAGGTACCTCCTCAACTATTTTGTTAGAAAGCGTCCAAGCTGCCCGTGTTCCAGATTGGGAACCCTAAACAACCTAGGCATTTTGATTAGTTGGTGCCTTTAGTTACTTGAGCCAAATGAACTAAATACCCATGCTTGTTTCAAAACCCAAAACATTTTTTTCAATAAAAAAACCTGTTATGATTTTGGCTTGAGTGTCTAAAGTGGGCCAAGTTACCAAAATGTTCCTATTTGTCCTGGGTTACAAATTTGGAACAATTTTTCTTAATGAAAAGAAGGTTTGGTAACTCGTAACAAGCAGGTTTATTTAGGTTATTTGACTCAAGTGACTTAAGTAGGTCCATCAAATTACCAAAGTCCCTCACTTGTTCATGGTTACAAAACTTAAAACAAGGACAATTTGGGTATTTTTTTTAACAAAAGTCTTGAGGAGGTACTCAAATGCAAGGATATTTGGAAAAGTAAGCACTTTGTTTATAAATTGCTGATTTAACCAGCTTAATGATTTTTTTAAGTCATCCTTTTAGATGTAAATGCAAATGAAATTATTTTTTTAAACTGAACTCTCTGTAGCTTTTGTATAATAGAAAATTTGTAACCAGCACTAACGATAGCGCTGAAAATGCAGATCATATATCATTCATCAGTCATGTTGCTGCAGCTCAACCTCCCCAAAATTTGCATACCTTGATAAAAATACTGCAAGGAAGAGGTTTACCGGATCCTTCCACAATTCTGTAATGAATGTTAAGATTTCTGTTGCAACTGGAAAATATCCTTATTGTTCCGAATGACTGTATTTCATTTGGTTAAAATGCTCATTCTTCCTGATGGATTTGTCATCTGACATTAATTTCACTTTGGGGACCAAATCCTTTGTGTTATAAGATTTGGTGTCATCTTTTTGTTGCATTGATATGGTTCTTAGTTGGTCAATCGATGCTTAATCCATATGATGGAGCACGAACATTACCTGGAAGAATATACCTGGTTGGTTAAAATCGTAATTGGTGTCCAAGCAGCATTTTGCTTTAGCATGTGGCGAGCATAGAATTTGTTCTAAGTTCCTGCGTTAATATGTCTACCATAGACTTATGTGCTGGAAAAATATTGGGCAAAATTAAGACCCTAGGATCATGAATATCTCAATTTTCCATGCATGATATATCTGTTAAGTGGAATCTGTTCTCTGTTATGTTGTTGACAAATTCAATAACACCTGTGAAAAATCTTCTTGTGCTCTTGGAATCTTGGATAAATTACTTCTTGGTTACTTTGTTAGTAACCATATGTTTTCAATTGCTCAATATGAATATTATATGACTCTTCATAGTAGCCGAGTACTTGACTTCATTATATATGATTTGTTGAGTATTTACTACACAGCGAAACAATGAAAGAGGAAATTGGGGGGCATGTGGAATGTAAAAGATGTTAAGTTGATCCATTTGATCTATATTTTATGATTGGAGAGCATTGGGAACTTTTCATGCTTTTACTCAATACATATCTTATTTTGACATTGCTTTTAGCGGGAAATTTCCATTTGTGCATGCATCCTATTCTGTTATTCTTTTTCACACTTCCTTTATGGGTTTTTTTCATGGTTTCATTTTATTATATACTCATAGCTCACTCTCCTTTATCTAACGATTGAAAATGAGAAATATCTATGTTACCAGGTATTACTTTGACTTGAATGTCGTATTGATTTCAGTTGTAACCCGTGAGAGGAACTCTTCTAGTTATTGGGATCTTCTAAGGAGGGGTTTGCTTCTACTCCAAATGCTTGATCTTGTGCTCCAAGACATGGGGTCTCGATTCAGGGCAATTCCTTGATATTTGGGATCTAGATCTCTATGCCCAAATCTAGGTTCCACGATTAGGCGGAACCACGATTCTACCAACTTAGAATCGAGTATCCTCTACTTTGGAATCGAGTTTCACTGGCACGTTTTTTGGTTCATATACAATATAGTGGAGATCTCCAATTTTTTATGACCTTCAAACTTTCTGCATACCATGATTTCCTACATATTTTGCAATTCATAACTTTACACACCTTGTGAATTGTGAATTGTATCTAGTCTTAAAGAAAGGCAACAAGAATGAGAAAGGAGAGAGAAGGAAGTAGCTGGAAGGAGATACAAAAGTTAGTCGCATTGCGGTTCTGGTGAGGAATGAGATCATGATCAATACCCTTTACTTCCTTAGGGCTAATTCATTGGGTCTCGTCCACCTCCCAAAGGACTTCAATCGTTTGAGTGTGGTCAACCAAATTGAGCCACTCATGGGGTTGACTTATGGGTGAAGGATCTCTTGTGTATATATCATTGAGCCCCTAGTAATCCTCGATGGAGGAGAGGTATGGGGAACTATACATGGCAATGTCTTTCCTTTTTTCTTGTTGTTCAATGGAATTTGCTCCCTAATTACAATGAAGTGGATAGTGAACTTCGGGAACACGCTCCCTAATAGTTAGGGATCGCGATCCCTATACCTAACCACCTATGGACCTCATTCCCTTGGCGGCGGATCTTTGAGCCTACCTTGCTCCATGCACCATCTCCCGATCCGGAGCTCTTGTCTCTCCCATTCCTGGTAACTATGTTCTGACCTAAGATTTTAAAGTTTGAGTAGGTCCCAGGTTTGAAATTTGATTTTTAGTGGTCCTAGTTCTTCGATAATCACACTTCAACGGTCCCTTTTTTGTGGACCACTCAATCGGATTGACATGTACTTCACATCTTCTGCACATGAAAGTTTGCGTTTATGCTTGGATTTTGCCTATTAGACTATCAAAGTGTTAGATTTGTTTCCCAGTTTCTAGGACTTATGTCACCATTTAAAAACCTTATTTTGAAGTGAACTTCTAGTAGCTGGTGACAAGTTCTCAAATCAACTGATTCTCATGCATTGAAATTCACATAGAATCTTCAGCTATAATAACTTTGTTTCTTCAGTTTGCCTATAATTTCATTTTGTTCTGAATTTGGTTCTCTCCAGAATTCAAAGGGGAAATATGTTTGCATTCTGAATTTTTCCAATGCATTTTCTACTCTGTTATATGCTGTAATTCCTATTCCAAATGCTTTTGATATAAATATATTTTTTTTCTTTTGGAAATTTGAATGGAATTGAATGATATGTTTATGCCTTAGTATAACATTCCCATATACATGCATACACATAGCGGACCAGAATCTATGTGATGTGATTCCATTACCCATACTACACTGTCTGACAATTTTTCTAAATATAAAAAGTAATATGATGAACGTATAAAGTCAACCTTCATTAAAAAAAAATGAATAACATAAATAAAGTTTTTCAGAATAGTTTAATAATTAAAAATTATGATACATTTAAGTAAAATGTTTAATGTATAATGTGATCGTCATTAAATATATACGGGAAACATTTTTGCACCCTGGAAATATTGCACTATAATGTTTCCCACCTCAAAAACCACTTTTGAGGTGGGTAAGGGACCCAGAATACCTCCAAATAAGATCTGGTTTTGAAGCTCCAAAAAAATCTCCAAGACGCTTAGATCCACCATCATCATCATCGTCATCACCATCATCGTCAAAGGCTTTTCCCAACTAATTGGGGCTGGCTACACGAATCCTGGTTCGCCATTCTGCTCTAGCATTATCGTCAAGGGCCATACCTTCAATGAGGCCACGTTTATGGGGAACGCCCTAGCATAAATAGCTAGCGTACATTCCATATTCATGAGAAGTTTTGACAAAGATTTACGTTGGCTGCCTACCTAACACAATCCCGCCCCTTTATCAGGGTATGGGACTGGTTAAGGGAAAGTTTAAGGTCTTCAATTCTTAGATCAAGGTCGCTTAGATCCACCATCCATTGAAAATGGAAACCGAAAAATTGGGTGTGGGATGTAGCTCTTTATGGGCTCCATGCTTCTTCTTCTTCTTCTTCTGCTCCTTTCTTTTCTTTTCTTTTCTTTTTGATGATATTGGTTTAGGAGTGGCTTCTCCAAGTAAGATTTGATTTCTAAAGCTCAAAATCCCTTGGATTGATGCCCATTCAAAGAATGTCCCATATTTAAGTTTTGTGGTGGCAATAGATTTGGAGCATTTTTGTAGCTCCAAGTCATTTTTGTTTATTATTGTTTTTGAGAGGAGACTGATATGGAACATTTTTGGGTCTCTCACCCAGCTCAATAGTGGTTTTTGAGGACAAAGAACTTTACAGTCTGATATTCCTCGAGACTTCCTAGGGACATAAATCATTCTCCCATTTCCCATTATCTTTGGTACATTTAATATGTTATATATAAGATATAAGTCCATCAATAAAGATGTACTTTAAGGGTTTTTGTTTAGGGTGAGGTTTGTATAAGATTTCAACCTTATACTGGAATGTCTCTAGCGATGGCATGAAAATCTGTTATATCCTCTAATTAAGAAATTTAAAGCTTCAAAAATGATGTTGATCGAGCAGATCTGTAAATAATTAAATTTTTTGGAAATGGACGGTCCAGATATTAATGCTGTACAAGATGCACTACTTTCAAGACTTGAAATCTTTTCCTTTTCATATCCATACATCTCAGGTTGAGATGATCAATTTGAGGGTTTTTCAACATTATAATAACCTTTTCTAATGGGTTTTTGAGTACCTTACTTCAACAGTATAAGGTTATACTGTATATAATTTTTTTTCCTTTTGTTTAACTCCATTTTTTGTACACACATTCTCTTGACCTTCACAAACATCATCATCATTATCATTTTAGCCTTTTCCCAATTAATTGGGTCTACATGAATCTTGGTTCTCCATTCTACTCTATTAAAGGCTATATCCGTAGTGAGGCCATAGGTTCACATATGTTTTCGGAGTACTTCCAACCACGTCCTTGTAGGCCCCCTTGCCTTTTTTAGTCCTTCCATTTAAACTAACTCGCACCTTCTAACAGGTGTTGTACTTAGTCGGCACCACACATGTCCAACCCATCTAAGTCTACTCTCTCTCTCGAATAGATTCATTTCGAATTTTTTCCCTTCTTGTCTTGCCACTCATCCATCTCAACATCCCCATCTCTGCTACACTCATTCTACGGGTATATTATTTTTTGTTCGCTAACATTCCGCCCCATAGAGCAAATCTGGTTTCACTGATGTCCTATAGAACTTGCTCTTCAGCCTCATTGGTATGCAGTGATCACGTAAAATTCCAGTTACACGTTTCCACTTCACTCATTCAGCTCTAATTTTATGTGCGACATCTTCCTCGATCTCTCCATTTTCTTGGATTATCGACCCAAGATATTGAAAGTGCGGTCTTTTTTGTACTTCCTGACGGTCAATCTTAACTACTTCCTCGTCTGTACTCCTATTATTACTAAACTTGCACTCCATATACTTTGTCTTAGTCTGACTAATTTTACAATATCCCTTTGAAAAAGAAACATAAAAAATAGTTCTTTGAGGAGAGAGAAAATATCATTGATACCATCCATCCATTTTGATGCATTCTCAGATCAGGGTTAAATTGTTTTTTGTTTCTTTGAAAAGCATCCTCAAAATTTGGTGTCAAATAAATCCTGTTGATTGAGTTTTTTTTTGGAGATGGCAAAGCATGGGCATGTGGGATTTGGATGATATATATATTCTGTGTGTATGCACATGTGTGCATGTGCCTTGAATTATGGGGAATGCCATGTCCAGGCCCCTGCTCTCCATTTCTGTTTCTCTGTCTGTAATTCTAGGCATCTTGAAACCTGGTTGTTTGCCTTTGCTCCATGAGCATTGTTAATAACTTAGATGTTGCTCTCCTGTCAGTACTTTGAACATTGTCATAATAATGAGGCAGACTTGGAATTCCAAACCTTGCTATGTTGCCAAACTTTTCTGTGGGCAACTGGTTGCATTAACTCACTTTCTAATATACATACATATCTTCTGAATACCATTGAAAATTGCATCTTTTTGGTTCTTGATCGTAGTCTAATAAATTGGAAGTGCTATCATCCTTATAAGTACTTCACATAATGGTCCATAGTTTGCAGAAAACACCAGAAGTCTTAATCTTAAGTATGACCACGAGAGTATATTGATCAAACTTCAAAACTTTATATTACCCCAAAAAGATGCGGCAGTCAAACAAAGAAATAAACATCTTCTTTAAGTATGTTCTTCTCTCTTACTAGAGGTTACTTTATTCAATTATTTTTAGCTTCAAGATGCTTTATATCAACCCTTTCGTCAATAAGAGGGAGTTAATAATGTTACAATGGCCCAGAGATCGAACTGGTAGGGGCACTGGTCTGGTTGGACCGGGCAAACTGGACTGGTTCACCAGTCAGTTTGCACAATAAAATAAGTAAAATTAAAAAAAATAAAAAAATAGAAATTTATAAAAAACTAAAAATAAAAAGTTTATAAAATTAGTCAAGTAATTAAGAAACAAAAAAAATAATAGACAAGTAATTGAAAATAAAAAATGAAAAACAAACATTTACATGCAAGAAATTGCACATAATCCACAATTAAGCAAATACATAAAATAGTTTAACTATTAAAGTCAAAAATACCTTTAGAATGAATGCAAGAAACATTCCATTGCAACTTTTTAGGGCAAAAAAGAAGGATACTTCAACATATGTAAAAGCACTAGGAAACCAGATATTTTTCAATTTTTCTAACTTTTGTCAAATCCTAAGCAAATAAATTAAGGAATAGACCAAATGGATTTACTTGGGGGACTGAAAGCTTCGGATTGAGTGGCCGACATATGCTCCAAAAATTCGCCAAAAATTCACCCAAATCTTAGGGTTTTCTCGGGTTAGAGAGAGCGAAAGAGAAAAAACCACCAAAGTTTTTCTTTCATTGAAAAAGTCTTTTTATACTTAAAACTCATCATATGTGTTAAACGTCATTCTTTAATGTGTTTAGAAAGGGAAATCACCTCTATCTGTTTTATCAAATGCTTGCAACATCGGATATCGAAGAGTGTGGACATAAGTATTACGTGTGAATTACTCACCCATATTAATGAAGACAAATGGAGATCAACATCCAAAAAATGTGCTTACATGACTTGTGAATTGCTCGAAAGGTTATAAATATCACTATACATCCTCTGTAACCTTTTACCATTTTTAGGCATGTTTTTGTTTAAATACACTTCATGCTCCACACTCATTATTACTTGTAAGGTAGTTAAAAGAAGTAGCTGGGCTTTTAATGGTCTCATTAAGTTTGGGCATATAAATGATATCATTAGTTAATTTCACAATGAGAGATGAATACACTCACATAAAAGTCTATTCTTATGTGGGTCTACTCTTCTTCACCAAATGCATTTAGGGATAAAGGCCATGAAATCAGTGAGCTACTCCTATTGATGGTCTTTCATCATCTTATGCTACTGAGCAACATGGAACTAGACCAAATCCATTTCACATGAGCATGACCATTGCAGAAAGGAAACCACTTCAGAATGTAATACTATAATACTTCTTGAATGAATAAAGCGCTATTCAACCACCATCTTGGTGATCCGTACACTAGAAGGGTACCTCAGTTTCTGCATGCACCGACTGGTTTTCACCGAGAATTTAAATACTGATTCTTTAGATTGAATCCAGTATCCAGTAATCAAGGTTCAAAACGGCGGATGCGGCTGCCTAGGCGGTCAGGGGTCTAAGCCACCTAGGTGCCAAGGCGGGCGCCTAGACACAAAGGCAGATGCGTTGGGGGCAGGGGGCAGATCCTTGCAGGGGATTGGGGGGCCATATGTTGTTTTGTGTGTGCTTTTTGTGAATGTGTGTGCATGTGTTTAGTGTGTGTGTGTGCATGTGTGCACGAGTGTGTGTGTGTGCATCCATGTGCTTGTATATGTGTTTAGTGTGTGTGTGTGAGGCCTTTCATGAAATTCTTGAATATCATGCTCTTTCTTTTTTTTCTTTTGGATCCGTATTTTTGAGAGAGGGACCTCCTGCCGAACACTTGGAGGTCATCTTCCTCTTTTTCGTCTTGTTACATGTAAAGATGGAGCATATGGGTCCATGTGTATCTTTGTGTGTGTGAGAGAGAGATAGTGGGATGTCGTGTATTGAACACTTGGACTCTATCTTCTTCATCTCCTCATACCAGAGAGAGAGAGAGAGAGAGAGAGAGAGAGAGAGAGAGAAGGGAAATACATATGCCTAATTTTCAGTTGGGTGGATTTGAATTTTTTTTTTTTCAAGGGGTGCACCCAGACCCGCCTAGGCCTGCTCGCACAGACCCCACCGCCTAGTCTATGCCTTGGAGGTTTGAGAAAATGGCCGCCTAGGCAGCAAGACGGCCAAAATTTTGTTCATTGCCAATAATCAAAGGTCCATTAGTGAACGACATATAATGGTTGAGCAGCTCAAAGTTTTCATTAGAAAAGCATTAGGTATCATTTGCAATGGAGATTGAGGGACCAACAGTCTCCATCTTATTTAGCGGATCTGATTTGTAACGATAAATTAATCCTTCAATTATTCAGTGATGGTTCTTGGGTTCTAATCATGTTATATTAGGGAGCTGCATTTTGACTTGAGAGAGCCTCGTTCCTGCCAAAGTCCTTAACCGGTTTTATGCCGCAGGTGAAACAATTGTCTCTCCATGTGCCAGACAAGGACTGATCTCACTTGCAATCCCTTTATCAAGGAATCACTCAGGTGTAGAAGAAACTCTTCCACCCAGATCTTCATAGGTTATTGATGAAGAAGAGCTATGTGGGGATTTATATTTATTTACTTTATTTTATAGGGAATATTTACTACATCCAAATTCGTTCTCCATTTTTCCATTTTTAGTGTTAGTTTATCAACCCATTTTCTTCATAGCAGGTACATTGGTTGCGCTATTGAGATGGCCCACCCCTCCAGCAGGGTAGGTTTCATGAATGAGAGACACTCTTGTTAAGTTTGGTATGCTCGAAGTATTACTTCTGAAAATTACGGTTATCATGTAAGTCTCTATTGTGCTATCAGAATGGAGATGCCAGTTGTGGAAGTCCACCAGCATGGGGTGTGGCTTTTAGCAAAGAGTGTAAGCTACTTCTACAGTTTTACCTGATAGAAAGCTGCTCTCCATCAGAGCTAATATTGCTTCTTTTGGATTTGTTTTGGTGAACTTTTCTTGATTCATAGAGCAGAACACCTGGTTTGAGGTATGTTCTGATGATTTTCATATAATTGCAGGTGGATCAATACATCCACCGAATCCTGGTTGAAGAAGATGCCTGCCATTCCGCAAACATTGATGGGAAGCCATATTCTGTCTTGAATGATTCTGCCAATAACATTTATAAGAGGGGGGACTTTGCTATGTCTCGGATCAGTAATTTGGATATCTACCTTTTGAAAATGGTACAAAGATCTGCTAACCTTTCTAATAAAGAGAAAAAGATATTTAAGACAGGAAAAAGATATTTAAGACGGAGGAAAAAGATATTTAAGACAGGAAAAATGTGGATTTGAATAGGAAATAAGGGGTTGATATTCACCTTAGAATGATCATTTTCCAGGTTGGTTTGTTTCCTGATGTAATGGAGCGGAAAGCACTGGGTCATTTGGAAAAAGGTGACCAGGTGCTTATTGTGGTTTCTTGATCTCAATTCTTTTACGAAGCAAGTTAGTATGCCCCATTTTCTTGATAGTTTTGCCTAATATATGGCTGCTTGCTATGTTTGATTGCCTTGAAAGGTTTCCGCACTGGTGAGTGGGGAATTCTATGCCAAGAAGGAGCACTTTCCAGGATTTGGACGGCCATTTGTGTTTAATGCAGAGGTTCTGCTGAAGTTCGTAAGAGGCTTATGTTTTATATCCAAGACGAACACATGCATATGCTTACATACATCATGCATGTGTACGACCATGCCTCATGCATACTCAAATACATGCATGCATAGATATATTTGCTGCATGTATTTGCTTTTCCTTGGAGGATTTATATTCAAACTACGAGCATTGGGTTTGCTAAGTCCCTATATTCTTTAACTAGCCAATGCATGTTTTCCAGAGTAGGGCGTAACTTGGAAGCTAAGGATGCTGCTAGAGTGGCTCTTAAATCCCCATGGTGGACCCTAGGCTGCAAATATGAGGTTTGAAATCTTCTATTGTTGGATAGTTTGTTCTAGTTATCAAACATGAGTGAGAATTACATAACAAAATATATGAGTGTTTTGTTCAGCATGTTGCTGAGATTGCACAATGGGAAGATGAGCAGATTGAGTACATAAGAGAGAGAGTTACTGAGGAGGGAAGGCGCGAGGATCTGAAGAAGGGGAAGGCACCTGCCCAGGTATGCAGATAATTGTACTAGCATTGAAGAGCTTGGGCATGAAAACTTACAATTGTGAAGCCTGGTACAGTCGTTACTTTGAAGGAAAGAGACATTTAAAAAACTGGGGTTGACCTGCCAAAGAAAGAGGAGAGATGTTTAAGACTTTTAGATGCTTAGAAATATCAGAAACAGTGACAAAATGAAAGTAGTATTTAGTTTGGTTTTCTTTTTTCGGCTTTTCCTTATAATGATTGTCAGATTCTGGCCTTCAAAAACAAGTAAAAATGAAGGGTTGAGTTGCCTTACATCGAAAATATTTTGAAGTTTTAAAGTTGGTTGTATCTATTGAGATTTAGGCCAAAATAATCTCCAGTAAGTGCCATAAACATTTAAAATTTGACGAAATAACTTTTTAAATTTCTGATTGGATCAAGAATGCTTTACCATTTGTCTTTCTTAAGATCTATAGAATATCCAAACTTCATAATATTAATTTGTAGAAGAAATATGTTCCAGAATATTGAAACCAGATTAGCTGGGATTTTAAATGCTTTTGCTCAGGAAGTAGTCATATGTTAGTGGTTCTCCTATACACAGTTGTGTTATTATTGGTTTTTCTTTAATTTTCAGGTGGCTTTAGACCAAGCCGCATTTTTGATGGATCTTGCTTCTGTAGATGGTACATGGCTTGAGATTGAAGATCAAGTTGCTGACTGTTATGAGGAGGCTGGACTCCCTGAAATAGCTAGATTTATACTGCATAAGGGTTGACTTGTGATGGGAGTCTTTCTTATCCTAAAGGTCATCATATAATCTTCCCAATGATTATGAATTTCAGCCCTTTTTTTTCTTGAACATTATTGAAGTTCGAGAATTTGGGAAAATGTCTTTGAAAGAGTGTGCATCTTGCAGAAGTATAAAAGGTTAAATTGTGCAAAAACCCCATTAATGCATAGTTGAGTCCGAATAGAAAGTATTTGGATGAAGTTGATGAGAAATCACATGCAAAGGGCGATATGAAACACTTTTGGTTGAGTTTCCCTTTTTTTCATCAATGATTCATCTAGCAACCTGAAGTTTGTTTTACAATTGATTAGTTGCAATTCCTGCCTCTCCATCTGACTCCGTTTGTATGAGCTTTGTCTCCCAAGACAATGAAAGACTACACGGTAGAAAAATATGCAGAAAGTATGTGTGAAGGATCATTGCACTGCTGCGTTTTAAGGGAAGTTCTCTTCCATAAGAGAGGATGCCTCTAGGAAATGAAGCTGTTGCATGTTGCTTAAACTTTAGTGTTCAACCGTCGCTATGTGATGACAAATCGTGCAATCCAGAAAATAGTGTAATTATATTGATAATTTTGAATTATTGCTAAAAACAAAACCATGCACATTCAGTCATGACAATGATAAGAATGATTAATGCAAGCAGGTGTCATCCAAAATCCATCAAAAGGACTAAATTACCAAGTCTAGGTAATTACTTTTAGGAAAAAGCACTGTTGTCAAATTCGCTTCGGTTTGGTGGGAAAAAACGAAGCAATTTGATGCTTCGGCCGGTTCAGAGGAAGACTTAGGAATTTTTTTTAAATGTAATATAAATAAAGTATATATTTACATATAAAAATATGAAAATAATAAAAATTATAAAAATAAAAAATTTCAAAAAAAAAAAGAAGAAAATTATGTGCTTCGGCTAACGATTTCAAATTACATTGAAGCGCATAGCTGTAGTTAAAAAAGACAATTATGTGTTTCAAACGAAGAGGCCAAAGCTTTAGTCGGAGAGATCGAATCAGACTGAAGTAGGCCGAAGAGGTCTGAAGCAGGTTGAAGCTGATGCACCAGAACTTTGCTTCACTTCAGTCTAGGATGCAAATCTAGAGACTTTGGCCTCTTTTGTCGAAGTGAAGCGAGTATGATAACATTGGGAAAAAGTTTATATAAGGTTGCAACCTTGAAGTGTAGAATTAAGGTGTAACTCAGAAATCCATCATAAAATGTTGTTTTGATGTTCGAAAACCTTCTAATTGATCATCTCAACATGGAGATATATATGAATATAAAAAGAAGATGTATGAATATGAAAAGAAGAAAATTTTGAGTCTAAAAAATAGTGTATCTTGTAGCACATTATTTGGACCGTCTATTTTCAAGATTTTCTTGTATCCATAGATCTATTTGATTTGAACAGTTTTTGGAGTTTAAAATTTGATAATTAGAGATCAAAATAGACTCTCAAGTCATCCTAATAATATTTGACACCAAAATTACATTTATGATAAAATCTAGAGGCACCCCTTAATTTGATTGTTTAAGGTTGCAACCTTAGGCAAACCACACCTTTATTTTTAGTGCGCAACCTTGTTTAATACTTATATTGTGCTTTATCATCACCATCATCATGTAAACTTTATACCAACTATTTGGGTTTGGCTATACGAATCATGTTCTATTATTCTATTATATTAAAAGTTATTTTCTCAGTCAAACCATAAGTCATCAAATATTTCTCTCTGCTTCCATCCATGTCCTTTTGAGCTTTCTCTCTGCCCTTTTAAAGCCTTCCACTTGAATCAAATTACCTATCCTAAAAGGTGTTAGTTTTAGGTCAATGCTGCGGTCAATGCTACACATGGTCATAACACCTAAATTTACTTTTTCTTATCTTATTATATATTGGAGCTACCCTTAAGTTCTCTCAGATGTACTTGTTTCAAATTTTATCATTTTTTGTTTTACTATTCATCCATCTCATCATCCTCATCTCAGCTATACTTGTTCTATGGATATGTTGTTTTGTTACTGTTCAACATTCCATCCCGTAAAGCATGGATGGTCTTACAAGTATCTTATAGAATTTTCTCTTAAGTTTAATTGGTATGTGATTATCACATAAGATTCCAGAAGTATATCTCCACTTCGTCCAATAGCTCTATTCAATGTACGACATTTTCTTCCATCTCTCAATTATCATGGATTATCGACTAAGACATCAAAATATAATTTCTTTTAGGTACTTTTTGGTTTTCAATCTTACCTAAGTCACCATTTCCACTCCTATTTTTACTAAACTTGCATTCCATATATTCTATCTTAGTTGATGATGTTTATAGCCTCATCAATCAAAGCTGTCATTCGGATAAAATATATACTATAGTAACTCATCCTGTAGATACTTAGTTAACTCATCCATAACTAAATTAAAAAAGATATAGGTTCAGAGTTGACCTTAATGTGGGTCTACTATCATTGAAAACTCACTTGTTTATCCACTAGTTGTCCTCACATTAGTTCCTACTCTCTCATATATATCCCATACTATGCCAATATATTTTCTAATTGATTCCTTTCTTTTTCAACACCTATAAAATTAACTCTCTAGGTAGCCTATCTTTATGCTTTCTTTAAATCAATAAAGACTATTTGGAGGGATTTTCTCTTCTCCCTAAACTTTTCAATCAATTACCTAAGTAGAAAAATAACCTTAATGGTTGGCTTTTGGTTTAATGATAGACTTGTTTCATGTCGTAGCCTTTGCTCAATCACTCTCTCCAGCAACTTCATAGTGTGACTTATAAGTTTGATCCCTTGATTGATTGTACAACTCTGTATGTCTCATTTAATCATGTAAATCGATACCACACCGTTTTTTGATTTGACATTTTCTTTGTTCTCAAAATCTTGTCGACCAGCTTGGTCAATTAGAATATGCATCCTCTCCCATGTACTTCTAAATTTCTATTAATATACCATCCGTTTCTGAAGCCTATCTTATGTTGATCTTTTTCAAAGTTGTTTTCACTTCAGATATCCTAATCCTAAGAATGTGTCTATGACCTCCAACTTCATTCATGTTAAAGGTTTCTCCTAATACCATACTCCCAAAGTGGTCATCCTTTAGTAATTTTTGAAAAATAAATTATCCACATTTATTGACCTCTTCATCCTTCACCAAGACCCTTTTATCCTTACTTTTAATGCATTTAACATGATCTAGATCTCTACACTTCCTACTCTCATTTTTGCTAGTTGGAAGGCATCTTTTTTCACCTTCTCTTGTCTCCACTTTATTCTATAGATCGTCATATGCCTTTTTTTTTTTTTCTTAGTGTTCTTCTTGCCATTTATATATTCTTCTACGTTTTGATCATTTTTATTACATTACCAAGCTTTGTAACATAACTATTTTTTGCTAATAGCCTTTTGAGCTACATCACTCCACTACCATGTTTCCTTATCTAAATGTTCATTTCACTTTTTAAAGTAGGTGTTTATTATTGCTAGGTCGTATGCCCTAACCAAATAAAAAAATAACATCATTCATCTCATTTATTTCCCTAAATCTATATCCTCCATGTATCCTTTATATTCTATACTATCTTTTTCTATATGACTATTTAAGTACTCTTCTAAAACTGTCCTCTTTCTATTTGGTATTCCTTAGAGTAGTCCATCCATGTCTTCCCAACATTATCTTTTAATTATATCATCTAATCCTACCAATGGCATATAAGCACTAATTATATTAATTATTTCCTCTCCTATCATAAGTTTAGTTATAGAAGTTTATCAACTACTATCTTACAATCTAGTACTTTATCCTACACCATTTTATATTATTATTTTTTTCCTATATATTAAAGTTTATATTCATCAATTTCCTTAACTTTTGTCTCTTTTTACTTAGTTTCCTGTAAGCATGCTATGTTAATTTCTCTTTCGTGTTATTGTATCCACCTACTCTATACTCTTACTTGTTAAAGTTCCTACATTTCATGTGGCTAGACAAATCCCATTCTTTAGACTAGCTTCTTTACTTACGTTTGCCCAAAATCGTACGAGAACCCCTTGCCTTCTTATTACTACAACCTGGCATCGTTGTAGCATGTTCCTTCCAAGGGAAAGTCCTAGCTAACCCCTGCTAATTTCTTACTACACCCAAGTTTCAGTATATTGTATCGCTTATAAACGCCTTAGTAGGAGGATAAAATATTGGACTAAGATTCATAAAGAGATGTGGCAAAATTTTTACGCTGGTTGCCAACCTAACACAATCCTCCTCCTTTTTCATCCAGCGTTGAGACCGGCCATGGTAGAGTTGCACTTATGATGTGCTTTACACTCCTAAATTGATGGGCTCATCAATTCCCTTATCTTTTTTTGCCAACCATGGTCATTAAGCTTCAAGTTAATTTAAAACTGTTTACAATTCTTTGGTTCGCCATCCGCTAGTGATTCATAGTCACTATGACTCTCTTCTAGCTCTTCCCAGGCCTAAGTTATGATACTACGAGGCCTTTCCTCTTTGTTTCTCTACCCTGACTACAGAGAAATGGAAGAAAAATGATCATTATTATTTAGCTTAATTGCTATGCTTAGGCCTGGTTAATCTGATTTAAACTCATAGTTTATACAAGTTATTTTTAGAATAAGGGAATTTACATGATAATGTATATCTAAGAAAAGGATAACATGTATTATATATTACATAAATGTCTCACCTTTTGTCTTTTCCTTTACCCCAAATAACCTCCATGGACATTTGCGTATTAAATTGAGGTTATTTGTAAGTGAGAGTCAGGTTTGGACATTTATTACCCGAATTGCTCTATTTATATTGTCTTCGTCAGTGAAAAGATTCAGATATTTAATGCCCAATTTCATATCCCGCTTACAAAATCACAAGTCAGTGGATTTGGATATCCAATATTTGAACTCGTTCACATTTTTTTATGCAAGGGATGGGTTCGATCACCCAATCTCTGAACCCGTCTCCCACTCAAAAAATTATTGAGTGGTTTTCGATGTTGGGTATCCGAACCCATTTTAATTTAAAAAAGTGGGCCAATCCAAACACTCAACTTCCAAATCCTCTCCTAAATGATATTTTTTAGTAGGGATGATTCTTATGTCGATATCGAATATCCAAACCGGACCCCCAATAAAAAAAAATACCTTTGGACATTGGACGTCTGAATAAAGGATTAAAAAATTACAAAAATAGGATATTTGGATAATATATAATGTATATGATCCTTTGTTTAAATATACTTCTACTGAGATTTATTTGTAAATTTTCCTTAA